ATTAAGGGATAACTTCTACTGAAGCTCATGCATAGATGCTGACCGACACCCTAGTTGAGTTAGCTATCCAGGGATGAGTTCTACAGAAGCTCATTTTGCTTGGTATTAGAGCACATGATTGTTTAGTGCATAGGAGGCAATGGTTTGACTCCTGTCCATTTGGATTTCATGCTCAGCGTTAGAGTTTGTGTAGAAGTTGATTTGTGCCACATTGTGAAATTGCTAGTTAGTTATTTCTTATAATGTGAGTTAGACAGTCTCTTCTCTTGGGTTAGCTTCCGGAAATAAGTTATATTCAAGCCCATTTGTGAAGACGTTATTTATCAGAACTGCTACAGCCCAGGACTAAAATATCTGAATTATCCAGCTCATATACTGTGACTCTCCTAAAGCTGTTCTTTTCTCGATCATAGTTGACAAATGTTAAATCCAACTGTATTCCAAAACTGAAATTTTGTGATGCACGTAGTTCTCTCTGAAAATATTCATTTCTGTTTGTACTATTGTTTTTTTAGACATTCCAAGTGGATATATATATGATAAGTGATATCTAATATAGTTTATTGGATAACATAGATTTTTGCTGCTTGATGCTCAACCTTTCTTCTGCTTATGCAGTTATCTTCCAGAAAGAAAGATTCTTGATGGTATATCATTTGTCGTGCCTGCTGGGAAAAGTGTGGCTATTGTTGGGACCAGTGGAAGTGGTAATATTTATCTTACATTTTTTTTTTTTTTTAATGTACAACAGTGTAGTTGGTGATCAGTCATGTGCCTCTAATTTTGATTAACTGCTTTTATCCAAATTGAATAAACATCTGCAAATGCAATGTACAGGTTTCTCATAAGAAATTTCAGTTTTGATCATGACATGCTAAACCCTTGAAAATTAAAAATGATGTTTTAAATATGTTTTAGTTTGAAAAGAAAGCTGAACCTTTGTTCAACTGTCTCTAACAAAAACGTTATGTTCAAACCATCAAGTGTTTGTTGATCTGAAATGAACTATTCTACCTTAGTTCAAGTTCAGCTTATACGGTATTGTTGCCTCCCTTTTTTCGCAGGGAAATCGACAATTTTAAGACTGCTTTTCAGATTATTTGATACCCACTCTGGGCGTGTAAGACTGCAAGACCTTTCTTTTACAGTCGATGGTATTCATTTGTAACAATTTACGATATTGCTTGCTTCCTTGTAGCGCATTACTGGAAAAAGGAAGAACAAGGACTGGAATAGATACATTAAAATATAACTGTCAATCAGCTTCTCTTTTTCATTGACTTGTTATCTTTATACTGGGCAGATAAAAATAGATGGTCAAGATATTCGGACAGTTACACTTGAGAGCCTTAGGAAGTCCGTTGGGGTTGTTCCGCAGGATACTGTGAGTTAACACTACTGTCTATTGCTAATGTTGAGTTAACACTATTGTCTATTGCTGATGTATTAGCTTCAAGATTTGGCATTTGTTGACTTGATGAGAACCTAAATCACTTGATATAATGTTCTGATGACTGGCAAATTGTTCTTTATTGGTAGGTGATGTTCAATGATACTATATTCCACAACATTCATTATGGTCGACTTTCAGCTACAGAAGAAGAGGTTCGGTTCTAGTCTGATTTGTTGTTGTTAACTGAGCTGATTATTGTTCACTTTTATAATTGCCAATGTTTTCCGTTATGTTATATTATTTAGGTATACAGTGCAGCTCGCCAGGCAGCCATTCATGACACCATAATGAAGTTCCCCGAGAAGTATCAGACTGGGGTGGGGGAAAGGGGACTTAAGGTATGTCCTGAATTCTCTCTCTCTCTCTCTCTCTCTCTCTCTCTCTCTCTCTCTCTGTCTCTCTCTCTCTCTCTCTCTCTCTCTTCAATCTATCTTCATGAGTACAGAAGCAAATCCCTTGTTACCAAATGATTTATGCAGGCAGAGTTTCAGATTCTCGATAGGAGAAAGTTGAGGTGAACTTAAATAGAAGGCCTAATAAGCTCCTAAAGATCTTATAAAAGTTTAGAGCCTATTGAAAAATATAAGGTACTTGAGTGTCTGGAAAGAATAAGATGAGATAGCTTATAGAAAGTGAGTATTTTTTTTATTTTTTAATTTATTTATTTATTTATTTATAATTAAATGGTCGATTCTAATGGAGATGCTAAAATTAGATATCATTTTTTTTTTCCAAAAAAGTTGGAATTCCCGAACTTTATTTAAAGCACAATTTCATTTGATAAAGATACATGGGCAGCCCCTAAAAATTTGTTTTAAAACAGATAGTCGAATCGGACTAGTTAGTCTAGAGCCATTCATGGTCTTTGTTTATTCACCGAGGTTTCATTTGGATATGATCTCTGCTCTGCCCTCTATGCAGTTGAGTGGCGGTGAAAAACAACGAGTAGCACTTGCTCGTACATTCTTGAAAGCACCTCGCATATTGTAAGTATTTCTTGCTTCTACACTGGTTTAACTCAATTTAAAGTTATTTTGTTTTTTTGTTTTTTTTTTTTCTACTCGTTCTTTGAATTGCGCTTGTTGTTTCTTGTATGCATTTGCATACTCAGATGTTAGCAATTTGTGATTATAAACTTGCAATCTTTTCCTTGTTTAACATAATTATATCTTAAATTCAAGCAAACACGTGAGATTCTCACTGTTGGGCGTGAAAAAATAATTTTCGCTCCAACTTTTGCGTCTTCACGTGACTAATTGAGAAGAAGCTCCAACAAGAACTTCTATCCATTACAATTTGCTTATTCATTTTTTCAAAACCTTAGGTTCTGTGACGAAGCTACTAGCGCCCTTGATAGCACAACTGAGGCCGAGATATTAAATGCTCTCAAATCCCTTGCAAATAATCGCACTGCAATATTTATTGCCCACAGGCTCACAACAGCAATGCAGTGCGATGACGTACGTATTCTGCATTATTATTAAATGTGTGTTTACATAATATTGATCTATGTGTGTGTGTATATATATATATATATATATAAAGATATCTGTATCTACAATATTCTACATCTATATATATATCTATTATTATGTTTGAAGAACAAGCAAGATTATGATATCAAATCGGTTTAAATGTCTTTACACAACGTTAAAACACGAGACGAAACAACTCATTATATTATGGTATAATATCAATACACTGTTTTCATCAATATGCTCTCATTTAGCCTTACTATGTTAAATGTCAGATTGTAGTTTTGGAGAATGGGCGAGTGGTCGAACAGGGCCCACACGACGTTCTATTGTCAAAGATGGGCAGATATTCTCAGCTGTGGTCGCAGCAGAATTCAACTATCGATACTCTCGATGCAGCTATCACCACGAAAGCATGAGTATACATATTTAGATTTTTCGGTTACATTAAAATCTTCGATCTTTCGTCATTTGACTGAATCTGAAGGGTACTTTTGTATCTGACTTGTGTTTTTAGATTCTCCAAGAACGGAATCTTTAACTTGTGAACTTGTTCAGGTTCGTTGCCGAATAAATCTTATGGCACGAATCGGCTGTGATAGTTATATACCGTTTATAATCAGCTTATTATGGTAGGATAAAACAATTTCTCCTTTTATATCTGCCTTAAATGGCAGTTTTAGTCAATGCAGGAATATACAGTGAATATTTACTGTTGAATGTAGCCCCCCCCTTTGAATCATATTCTCTTGAAAGGATATTTGTTTTAAC